CCCTCTTCGTGGGCTCCTGGAGTCCCCCGTCCCCCAGAGGGGGAGGAGGGCACCGACACCGTTGCCATTCCCTGGCTTCTGCCTCGAGGGCCTCCTGGGAGGCTCCCGTCGCGACGGCTGGACTCGCTCTGATCTCCTCGCCCTCGCGAGTCGTTCACCGGTACCTTGCGGTTTCCCCAGCTGCGCCTCTTTCGATCTTTTCCTGCTCTTCGCCTCCCTCCCTCCCTTCTGCTCGCGTGGGCCCACATCAGATCCCATCTTTCTTCCCTAGCCAAGACGCTGGAATACGGTGTGGGCGTTCGTTAAGGAACGTGCCCAGGAGGCTTCAGACCCTGGAGGGTTCCTCATCTGATGAGGGCGGCGGTGATACCCATGGCCAGTTCACGATTGGAATTCCGCCAGCTCCCAGACCCTGGCTTCCTTATCCAACGATTCCTCATCCAATGCCCTCACCGTAAGCTTACGGTTGCTTTGGGCTCAGGAGGGGCTCGGGTTCTGGGGCCGGTTTCTAGAATCCTGTAGTGGAACCTGTGTGTGTGTGTGTGTGGCCTTGACCCGCCGTGGCCAGAAAAGGCCCCTTCGAGCCCCATGATGCGCTCCCGACCGTAGCACGACTCTTGCAGAATCTCTTTGGGATCCTGGAGGAGGAGGAGGAGGAGGAGGAGGAGGAGGAGGAGGAGGAGGAGGGGGGAGAGGTGGAGGAGGGAGGAGGAGGAGGAGGAGGAGGAGGAGGAGAGGAGAGGAGGAGGAGGAGGAGGGAGGGGAGGGAGGAGGGAGGAGGGAGGAGGGAGGAGGGAGGAGGGAGGAGGGGAGGAGGAGGAGGGAGGAGGAGGGAGGAGGGAGGAGGGAGGAGGGAGGAGGGGAGGAGGAGGAGGAGGAGGACGAGGAGGAGGGAGGCCTGGAGCTCCCTCCTGAACATGCTCCCGAGGGGCTGCCGGCCAGGGCGGAGCCCTGGCCAGCCTCTCCCCTCCCCCCAGTGACGGGCTGCGGGCTGGGACGTGCGCCCCGCCCCTGGCAGCGGGTGTCCTCAATCGGTGGTCCTGGCCGTGACCATGCCGCGCCCCCCGGGGGGCGTGTTCGATGGCGGCCCGCTCGCAGGCCTTCGAGAGGGGGATCGACTCCAGAACTTGACCTGCCCCAGAATATTGCTTTTGGCGTCGGATCTAGAGACGGATGCGTAACAATGTCGTAGACCTACCGGCAACGGCGACGACGGCGACGACGGTGGCGGCGGCCGCGGCGACGACGACGACGGCGACGACGGGGACGACGACGAAGACGACGGGTCGGTGAAGGCCAGCGACGACGTCGATTACGACGACGATGACGACGACGACGATGACGATGACGACGATGGTGAAGACGGCGGCGACGACGAGGACGACGGTGCGACGTCGAAGCGATAGACGAGTGCGTAGACTTGTCGTAATTAGATCCACCAAAGTTCCTGACGCATTTCCCATGGACCCGACGAGGCGCATCAGTCCTGGGGCACACCCATTCTGCAGTCGATGCCTTCCTCGAGGCCTCGCGGGGGGGGATGCGCCCAGGGCGGCGGGGGGCGTCTTGGGGGCAGCATGGGCCGCCCCCCTGCCCGCGCGCCTCCGCCCCCGGGCCCCCGATGCCCCGCCCCTGGGCCCCGGAGTGGCGCGCGGTGCGGCCGCGCCGTCGGGGGATGCGGGCCGCCGCGTCCAGGGCCAGCGACGACGACGACGACGACGACGACGGCGACGGTGGCGGCGGCGGCGATGACGACGACGACGGCGACGACGGGGACGACGACGACGAAGACGACGGGTCAGTCAAGGCCAGCGACGACGTCGATTACGACGACGACGACGGGAAGACGACGACGACGTCGACGACGGCGGCGACGGCGAGGACGACCGAGGCGGTGGCGGTGAAGACGACGACGACAGCGGCGACGGTGGTGACGACGACGACGACGAAGACGACGGGTCGGCCAAGGCCAGCGACGACGACGACGGCGACGACGACGGCGACGACGGGAAGACGACGACGACGTCAACGACGACGACGACGCCGGCGACGACGAGGACAACGACGACGACGGTGACGACGACGACGACGGTGACGACGACGAGGGGTCGGTCCCATCGACGACGACGACGGGAAGACGACGACGACGACACGGACAACAACAACGAGGACGACGACGGCGATGACAGTGATGACGACGACGGCGACGACGACGACGGGAAGACGACCACGACGACGACAACGACGGCGACGAGGACGACGACAACGACGATGACGACGGTGGCGGTTGCGGCGGCGACGACGGCGGCGACAGTGACGACGACGACCACGAAGACGACGTGTCGGTCAAGGCCAGCGACGACGACGACGACGGCAATACGGCATCGACGACGCCGTGAAGATGACGACGACGAAGGCTACTACGATGACGAATACGGCAACGACGACGACGGGAAGACGACGACGTCGTTGGCGGCGGCGACAACGACGACGACGACGGCGGCTACAACGACGACGACGACGACAACGACGACAACGACGACGACGATGGTGGCGGTGGCGGCGGCGACGACGGCGGCGACAGTGGCGACGACGACGACCGCGAAGACGACGTGTCGGTCAAGGCCAGCGACGACGACGACGGCAGTACGCTGCAGGCCCCCTCGTGATCGTTTTCTCATTCGTTGTTTTGCCGATCGGCGCGGGCCCTCATACCCCCTCTCCCCCCCCCATGGAGTAGATCTTGGCTGTTTTTGGCGCCTGTTTCGAGCAGGTGGAGTCCCTCCCCCATCGGACACGTTGTTACAAAGAGTCGCATGAAGCAGAGGTCCTGAGCCAGACCAACCCCCCGCTCCCCCCCCTTCGGCCCACTGTCGAAGCGCCGAGTAAAAAAGCGCTCACCTCCCGAGTAATGACCAAGTCATGACGAGAGGTTTTTCGCCAGTTTCGGCATCTTGGGGCCCTTGCAGTGCCTCGGGACCGTGGGAGACTGACTCTGGAGGAAAAACCGGTCCCGGGGAAGCGGTCGAGACCTCGGGGGTCGACGTTCTGAAAAAAATAAGGATTTTGGGGATCTGGGGCCATGTCCCGCCCGACCGCCCGCCCCCTCGAGGGCTCCTCTGGGGCGACTGCGGTCTACCTTGGCGCGGAGCCCGTGTTTCCCGACGCCGACGTCGCCGATGCGTCGCAGATGCGTCGCCGATGCATCGCCGGTGCATCGCCGATGCATCGCCGACACATCGCCGATGCATCGGTGATGCATCGGCGATGCGGCGCGTTCTTCCGACCCCATCTACTCGGACTTCCTCTGGGAGGCCTCCACCACAGCCGTGCCCCGCTCGCCCGCCCCCTCGAGGGCTCCTCCGGGGCGACCGCAGTCTACCTTGGCGCGGAGAACCTCCAGGGGAAGCCTGGGGCGGAGTCCACCCTGAACGACATGTCGCTGGCCATCGGGCTGCGGGTGCTCCTCTGCCCGGTCTGGTGGTCGTCCAAGTGCGCGGGCGGGTGGCTGTCGCCGACGGGCCGCTGCCTTTCCTTCGACAGCTCCGCAGACGGCTACGTCTACTCCGACGGCGTGGCGGCCGTGACCATGGCGCCGTTCAAGGAGGGCGGCGAAAAGGACCACATCGGCAACATCGCGGGCGCGATGATGATGAACAGCGGCAGGGGCGCGACGCTGAGCGCGCCGCACGGCCCCGCGCAGCAGGAGACCATGGTCGAGTGCATCCGCAACGCGCACATATCGCCCTTCGACATCGACGCCGTGGAGACGCACGGCGTCGGGCACGACCTTGGCGACGCCATTGAGGTTGGCTCCATTCTACGGGTTCATCGATCTGAGGATGTCCGAGAGCCTCTCTCGCTGATGGCTCTCAAGACAGCAACGGGGAATAGCGTGGAAAGCGGGGGTATACTCGGGCTCATGAAGACCATGCTGTCATTCTGGGCCGGAGCAATGCCACCCAACCTGCACCTGCAGCAGCTGAACCCGCACATGGACTTTGGTGAGCCACCGTGCTCCTTCGTGTCCGAGTGCTGCAGCTACAGGATGCAGAGCATGTTCGCGGGAAACTTGTCCCAGGGATTTGGCGGTTCCAACGTGTACATTGTGGGCTGGGGGCAGATTAGCAGCGACAGACTCCCCGATTCGCAGCCGCCAGCCAGTAAGCAAGTCACTTTCTGGCCAGGGGGCGGTGGCGAACTGCCCCAGCACCAGACGCCAGCGAGCGGCTACTATATCTTGGGCTCGTGGTCCCAGTGGGAGGGCGCCGCCCAGATGGACCCGGAGGGCGATGGCGTCTTCGGGTACACGGTCACCCTCGGCGTCAACAGGTGAGCGACGCAAAAGAAGGGCTCGACTGCGCGGACTCTCGCGCGTAAACTGCGTGCGTCAAGTCGCCCGTGCGCGCCCTCGCTTCCACTGCGGCGTGCCGCGCTGGCGGCCCGCGTGGGCCACCGCGTGAGGTCGCCGCGCCTCGTGCCCGAAGACCCCTCTGTTCTCTCGCCGCTCAGGTGGGAGTCCTTCCAGATCCTCCTCGACGGCGACCCCGCGAAGCTCCTGCACCCCGGCGTCCCGAGGGCCTCCAGGTCGGGCGAAGAGAACTATGCACATGCACCGATCCTGGCAAGGCCCATCCTTGACCCAGGATCGGTGCATATGCCTTCCTGGCCAAGGCAGGAGGGCGTATGCACCGATCCTGGGCTCAGGATGGGCCTGGCCAGAATCGGTGTATGTGCATAGTTCTTTTTCCTCTACCAGGGACTTCCCCGTCGAGGGCCCGCCGGAGGACGCGGAGCCGTTCCGGGACTGCGCCTGGCTGCTCGACGGGCGCGGCGCCGCGCCCCCGGGCGAGGCGCCCGCGGGGGCCCCCCGGGCCGACCGCGACAGGCCCGGGGACCGGTACCGCGTGCGGCTCCACGTGCGCGGCAGGTGGCGCAGCGTGAGCTGGGAGAAGCAGGCGCCGGCGCTCGAGGAGCCGGGAGATCTTCGGGAGCGGAAAAGAGGGGGCTGATGACTAGGGGGGGGTGGATTTCATGGCGCGGGCCACGATTTTTCCTCAGATTTCATGGCGCCTCTTCTTATTGTTTCGTCACGTCCCAGGCCCCCCCGCTGGGCCGCGCACGTGCCGCCGGTCATGATTTGCGCCCCCCCCTCTTGGACACCCCCCTCTTGGCCGCTCCCGAGATGTGTTTCTCTGCGCCGCTTCTCGGCTGCTTCTTTGGGTTCTGCGGGTCGGGAGCGAAGGCCCCTTCGGGTCAAGGGCTGGGCGGGGCGCGGGCAGCCCCAAGTGGGGGAGGCAGGGCGCAGGCGGGCGGGGCCTCAGGCGGCCGGAGGGCTCAGAAAACAGACTCGCTTCTCGGCTACACGTATATCACCACCCACCAAACCACCCCAACCCAACCCGAAGGCCCAAATTTATCCTCGATTTCCAGTGGGGGGGGGTCGGGGAACGTTGAAAAAACACATGGTATCCGTACCCCCCCCAACCCGAAATTCGGGTCAAATTCGGGTCTTCGGGTTGGGTTGGGGTGGTCTGGTAGGTAGTCAGTATAGAAGTGGCCTTTCACCGGAGTGACCCCTGGTGCGGGCCCAGGGGGGTCCCCCGATCGCCGACCGCGATGCGGTGGTAGCGTGCTGCCCTCTTGTGTCGGGTCCCTGCACGGCCCTGAAAACATCGCGCGCCAAAGGTCACTCCGAAATTGCTTACCCAGGGTCGCTCTTTCGGGTAGCCGAGCTTCCTCCTCTCCCAGACATGCTGGCGTCGTGGAAACATCGCGACGCGGGAGGTTCTTGGGCCGTGTTCGGCCTCCGGGGCATTCGCCGCGCCGGGCCTTGGGAGCAACCAGAAACGGCTCGGGAGGAAAAACCGGCCCTGTGGAAAGGTCGAGGCTTCGGCTTGGTTGACCAGGTTTTTGCTGAGATCGCTTCGGCTTTAGCAAAGGAGGCTAACGCTATGTTGCAGTAAAGTACGCGGCGTATGTTACAGTACATTAACTTGGCTAGACTGCATAGCACACATGGAATAATCCTTCGGTAAACTAGAGTTTGTCAGAGTAATTCGAGCTTATGTTACAGTAGGTGAAACGAGATTCAGCTATATCAGGCACGAGGATCTGGATGATGCGGATCTCAGCCGGTGGAGCTGCAGCTCCGATGGTTCCTGCGCGTCTGCGGCCGCCGAGCTCCCCCCCCCCCAGCGCCCCGCGCGCAGGAGCTGCAGCTCCGTACTTTTAGCCGCGGCCAGGCGGAGTGAGGACGATCGCGCCGTGTCCAAGGCCACCGGATCACGCCGCCGCCCCCCGCGCGATTTTGTCTAAGGTCACGTGATGCAGGTTGGCGCCGTGCGCCGCCCAAGGCCGCCAGACGCTGCAGGCGCACTTGGCGCTGTGGAAGGTCCAGAGCTCCACCAGGGCCGCGTGACACAGCGCCGCCATGCGCGTTGCAGGACACTCGATGGCAACCAACTGTCGCGCCTGGCCCATCACGTGGCCGCCTGCCGCGTTCTGCATCATAGCGACGTCGCCCACAGAAACGTGATCGCAGATGTTCAGGTGAGCGTGTAGGTCGACTTTGACGTCGAATCCAGGGAACTGGCTGGGGCGCGTTCTGCAGCTCGCCCTTCAGTTTCCTGGGCGTGGGCTCCGGCGCCAGGAGTCCCGCGCCCAAGTCGAACGCGTCCTCGGCGATGCCGCTACAGCCGCGCCGAAGTCAACATTGACCTGAGACAACCGTCCTGGCGGCCACCCTCGCTCTCGCCAGATCCATCTTGGGGGGCGGAAAGATACGGATACGTGTTGTCCCCGGACCTCTCTTGGGGTGCGTTCTGACCAGAAATTCGGGGCGAATCCAGCGGTGACAACGAGGATTCCCCAGGAGGACCAGGAAAGGCCGAAAACGAAGGGGGACAACACGTATCCGTATCTTTTTCTCCCCCGACCATCCTCGTCGCCGCCGTCGTGTTCACTCCCTATCGCAATTCTTGCGCCAGTGCCCCCTCCCCTGCCGACTCGAGGCGCCCTTGTCGCCGCGACGTTCGCCTTCGCACCCCCCCTTCCCCCGACGCATCGAACGCTGTTGCGGCGCGGCTGCAGCCCGCAGTTTCACATGGGCATCGCTGTGCATGTATATGTATATATACATATATATATATATATATATATGTAGTTATGCGGTACGATCTAGACACATGAGCTACAGCATACCTCCACGGGGATGGGCGGGAGAGCATAGTTTTTACGGTCTAGACACATGAGCTGCAGCATACCTTCACGGGGATGGGCGGGAATGCGAGCGAATCGATTGCGCGATGAAACTTCGGGGTCATCTCCTCGGTGCCGCGCCGGCGTTTGAACTCAACCAGGTAGGTGCCCTCCGCGTGCTGCAGCGCCCCGGCGTCGACTGGCGAGCGGATGGCCTCGGAGGTAGTCTCCGCGGCGCCAAAGAGCTGCGCGAAGCACCGCGCGTGCATCGAGATATCGCGTTGCGTTCTCGAGGCGGCTGCTAACGTGAAGTATTTAATCCACGGGATCAAGCCGACCCCCTCGGAGGCCGCACGTTGAAATCCCACGGCGTCCCAACGGCTCTTGGCCGGTGTCGGGCCACACGCCCCGACGACCCTGCCATCCAACGGCATCAGCCCATTGCGTCCGAGGATTGTCCGCTTCGGCCGTGCGCGCGACCTTCGGGGGACGCTCGTTGGTACGAGGATTTTGCGGGCGACGCTCGATTCGATGGTTGCGGAGATGGCGGCGCCGAATGGAAAAATCCTGATCCTCCCCCATCGTAGCCCCTCCTTCTGCTGCCTCGCTCTCCTTGTTATCCACCACACATTGTCTGGATGACACGGGGCGTGGGCGTTCAAGATGCGGAAGCTCGTCCTCGCAGGCCAAGGATGTGCGATGGCGTTCCGCCCCGTGTTTCGAGCCCATTCATTACAACGGTATTATGCGGTGGAAGCCGCTCAGAGCCTTGCTGCACACAGCAGGGGGACTCGCGCGCGAACCCCATAATATGCAATGCCAAAGCGACCTTAAGCTTGGTGCTGTCGCGATTGTGGTAATATCGGGCCTACTCATCGCAATGAGTTGGGACGAGTCAGCGCGCGCAGGCCCACACCCTCCGGAGTTGGCAGAGGTCTTGAGCAAAACATAGCAATCGTCCAGACGCGAGCAGGTTAAATTCATGATGGTTGTATAGTTTGCCATTCGTTGTGCGCATTGACATTGTCACGTGATCGTGCTCCTCTTCCTCCTCTTCCTCGTCTTATTCCTCTTCGTCTTCCTCTTCCTCCTCCTCTTCCTCCTCCTCCCCCTCCTCCTCCTCCCCCTCCTCCCCCTCCTCCTCCTCCTCCTTCTCCTCCTCCTCATCCTCCTCCTCCTCCTCCTCCTCCTCCTCCTATTGCCCTGCTTAGCACGCGCATTGGCCCTGGCTGTGAACTCTTGAATTGCGACCTTCTCTCTACGCGCCAGACGGCGAACCGTTTCGTGCTCGCGCCCGTGCTGGTGCTGGCGGGTAGCGGCCGTCCCCGGGGCCAGCGCTGCCTGGACCTCACCCCGCGTGCGGGTGGTCGCGCGCATGCTTTGGCGATCGCAGCACACCCCCGCCCGCCCCGACGTGCCCCACCGCGCTCAGGCGTTGTCGTCACCCGCCGCCCCCCCCCCGGGGTAGCGATCGCGACTGGAGATGATGTTCGCCAGCGTGGGCCCCGAACAGCGATTCCGCACAGCTTGTGCGGTGCAGCCAACGTTGCGCAATCCATAGGTGGTGCAGGCCATGTTGTGCAATCTACGTGGTGCTAAACGTTGCGCAATGCGATTGCAAAGCAACGCGACGCAACACACACACACACATCAACCCAATGCGTTGGAACGCAAACCAGTGCAAATTAACGCATCGCAGTGCACCGCACTGCGAAACAATGCGAAGAAACGTAATTCGGCGAAGCGATATTGCTTCTCGCCCTTGGACGTGATTTCCCGCTCCCAGGCACCTCAGCGCGTGATCCCACGAAGGTCCTAAAAGGATTCCAACAGGACCCCCAGTTCGCATTCCACCCAAGATGGGTTGTCCGTATCACCTCAGCCCTAAGCAAAGAAAGCCTCATGCGGGATTACTATTGTGAGAAGGAAGCAGTAGCGATCCCCTGTCGTATCACATCTACACATTAGCTCCTACCACTGTCGCAGAAGACGGGGTGGTGGCGTGGGGGTATTTGGGTGCTAACTGACGCTGTCGGTGCAATGGGGTTGATATTCCTGGGTGAGGGGAAGCCCTCAGAACAGACGAGGAACATGAAGCATATTTGCGGGGGAGTAGGAACATCGAGACGTTGAGGGGAGTTTTTGAAAGTGAAGATTCTCCGAAAGTCTGAAGGTCGAGGATGGCGTTCGATAACATTTTCATATTGTATCTCTGTCGGGTCTCATGGATTTGGACTGTCCTCGAACCTCTCGAGGCCACTCTTAGGCTATCTTAGTAATCTTACTTCCACCGCCCTCCCCCTCGCGGGAAAATGGAATTAATTAATCAGTCTTGGTGCTAGCGATCTGGTTCGGCGGCCCCCCCTCCTAGAATTAGCTCATTACTTTGGGTGCTAGGGTCGGGCGGGTGGCATTGGGGGGTGACCCAAGTGCGGGGTGAAGAGAAGGGCTCTGAAGGGGCCCTGTTCTTCACCCCCCATTTGGGCCACCCCTCCATTGCCACCTGCCCGATGGTGATTAACGGGGCGGGGATCGTGAGTTGCACGGCGAACGCCAGGCGGAGCAGCACGAGACAGCGCACAAGGCACTGCAGGGCGATGCGAAGCGCGAGCCTCGCGCCAAGGAAAGCCTCGCGGGGCCAGGGACGGCGGCGAGGGGCAGCCGCGGGCGGCCACAAGCCGGCCGGACGGACAAGCAGGCTTTTTTGGGGGGGCCTCGTGTCATGGGGGGGGGTTCTCCCTCCGGGTGTTCACCCTCCAGGTCTTCGCCCCCCTGTACCAGTCCGCGGCGCACCTGCTCCTGCACATCCACTTCGGCACCGCCTGCACCCCTGGGCTTCGCCCACTCTGGCCGCCTGAGGCCCCGCCTTCCTGTACCCTATCTCCCTGATTGAAGCTGTGCGTAGCCCGCCTAGCTTTTAGCGGGAGAGGTTCGCGCTCGCCCCGCAGATCAAACAATCGTGTAATAGGGGGGGGCGATGCTCGAGCAGGTGCGAAGCGTCTTGGCTTGCCTATAGGCCCACCGCGAAAGATTATGATGATTTTCTTGTGTGGTTTGCCCACGAAAGTCCTTCGAACATTCCTGACTGAGACGGTCTTGCTTTAGCACATCGGCTCCATGCTCTAAGAATATTGTCTTGGTTCTGAGAGTATGTTTGGACTCTAAGAGCATTCCGTGGTAAGCCAATGGGAACGCCGGGGCGGTCGGTTCTTGCTCAAGTAATTAATGGGGGGGGGGGCGATGCATGGGGAGGCAGCGCGGGCTGCAGAAAAGGGGCCCTCTGGGGCCCTGCAAGGGGCCCTTTCGGGCCCCCAAAGGAGGCCTCTCGGGCCCGAGAAGTGCACCTTTCCCCCCCATTTATCTCGGGCGGGGCTAGGACGAGGATAAATCCGCTCCACAGCGTTCCCGAGCGCTCCCAGAGCGGCTTGGAACGACGTGAGAAGGCCGCGGCGCCCGAGACGTCCTCCAGAGCCGCCAGGTCTCAGGGATTCTCGATTTGTCCTCGCCCGATGGAGACGGCCTTACGGCTGGTGCCGCCGACCCTGAAGACGACGACGACGAGGACGAGGAGGAGGAGGAGAAGGAGGAGGAGGAGGAGGAGGAGGAGGAGGAGGAAGAGCAGGATGACCCTCTAGGGGCCTCTGGAGAGCTTGGGGGTTCCTGGGAACTGGGCGCGTCCTGGGAGTCTCTTGGGCCTCTTGGGGGCCTCTTGGGGGCCTCTTGGGGGCCTCTTTGGGGCATCTTCGTTCCTCCTCGGAGCCTCTTGGGGCCGAAGACTCGAAATGTCCGTTCTAGTCCCTCATCTGACACGCTCTTGGAGCCGTCTGCAGGGGCCTCTTGGACCGTCTTGGAGGCGTCTTGGGCCGTCTTGGGGCTTTTTGGGGCCGTTCGGGGTCTCTCCTGGAGGCCTCTTCGACCGTCTTGGAGCGATCTGAGGCCCCGTGGGCCGTCTGGGAGCGTCGGGAAGGGGAAGAGGCGAGAACGCCGAAATGCTTCCAAACCCATCGGAAATCGATGAGTTTTCATGTGGGGGCCTTCTTGGGAGCGCTCCTAGAGGCTTCTTGAGGCGTCTTGCAGGACTCGTGGGCCCTCTGGAGGCCGTGAAGGCGTCTTGGACAGATCGTTCTCGGCGATTCGAAGCCCTTTTGGACCGTCTTGGGGGCAGCTTGGATCTTGGGGCACTCTTGGCTCGTCTTGAGCTTTTTGGATCCAGGACACCCCAGGGGGGAGTCGTATCTGACCCGGGACACCCTCCCGGGACCCCCCCCCCCCGGGACCCCTCCCCGGAGACTTCCCCCGGGACCGGACCGGGGACCCCCCCCCTCCCGGCGGGAAGGGATCAAAGGCAAAGGGAAGAGGCTTCTCTTCGAGTTGATTACGACGTTGCTCAATTTCGCTTTGGCTGGCTCTCTTGCGGAGGAGGGTCCATGCAAGGAGGCGGGAGCGGCGACGGGCACAGGGAAAGGAGAGCGCAAGGACAGAGGACGACAGAGACGACGATGAACGAATGACGGCGACGACGACGACGACTGGAACGGAGATGCCCCTCACCCACGCCGACAGGGTCGGCGGATTTTATCCTCGTCCTGCTTTCGTCTTAACTGACTATCGCCCCCCCCCCATGGGAGCGACGCCCGGGCTCCTCAGAAGAGAAGGCCCCCTGAGCGCACGCACTGCTTGGGGACCGCGGCGCAGCCCCCCTGGCGGCAACGCGCGGCCATGCAGCAGAGGAGGAGGAGGAGGAGGAGGAGGAGGAGGAGGAGGAGAAGGAGGAGCAGGAAGAGGAGGAGGAGGAGGAGGAGGAGGACGAGGAGGAGGAGAACCCGGGTCCTGGCCCGAGCCTGCCCTTGGGGCCCGGGAGGGGTGCAACAAGGGCGCCTCCCCTCGTGCCGAGCGGTGTCGGGTGCTGCTGCAAGGTGCCCCTGGCCCAAGGTGCTCCCAGGATTTCTCGGGGGGGTCCAGGCGGCCTCCAGACCCAGATCTCCTCGCGCTGTGAAAACATCACGGCGGGCGGTGTTTCGTTATGTTCGGCTTTCGGGTGCCCTTTCCAAGGCCTCGGGACCGTCAAACAAGGATTCAGGACGAAGAACAGGTCTCGGGGAAGGGGTCCAGACTTCTGGGTGTCGACGTCGTGAACAAATCACGACGTCGGGGGTCTGGGGAGCACTCCTCACGGCGCCCAGAGGGCTCGCGGCTCGCGGGGCTCCGAAACGGAGCGGAAAGCCGGGGGCACCTTGGGCCAGGGGGGCATTTCTGACAACACCCGACCATGGGGCGCGTGCCTCGGTCCTGGGAGCCTGGATGTGGCAGATCTCGGAAGCCCTGAACCCAAAAAACTTCCGCCGCCTGCCGCTGCGGAAGAGACGGCAGCTCCTTCGACCGTCGGAGGCGAGGCCTTTTGTGGAGCGCCACACACGCATCGGTCGTTGAAAGTAGGTACTTTTGGATTCCCATAGTCCAATCGACTTTGAGCGCCTTCCTGCTGCAATCATCGAGTGGCTTCACTCACCTTTTCCGTCCTCCCAAGGGGGCGGACGGAACCCAATCTCTTTCCCACGCCTTCCTATTCAATGTTTCTACCTACTCCTTCCGACCGATGGGTCCAAGAGTCTGGCCAGGTTCGATGCGCGTGTCCGGTCCTCGCCCCTCCTCGGAGGCGACGACGAGGGCGAGTATGCCCAGGGGCGGGCACGGAACGAGTAGACTTCCGGGAGCCACGCCGGAGGCACGGACCTTCGGCGCCCTTGAACACGAGGAGGAGGAGGAGGAGGAGGAGGAGGAGGAGGAGGAGGAGGAGGAGGAGGAGGAGGAGGAGGAGAACGAGGACCCAACACCACAGGATGGTTGGGACAAATTCCACACCGCCATTCCACACCGCCACACAGCGGCGCGCCGCGCCCTGACCTTCCACGAGGGCTAAAAAATAGCACCAGGACCTTGACGTCTAAGTTCCTGTCGAGGCTTTGAGCAGTCGAGATCGGTCTATAGGCCTGTAGGGCTATTGGTGTAGCACTCTGGAAGGTCAGGGAAAGAGCCTCGCCTTCGAGGATCGAAGGAGTTGTCATTCTTCCGCGGCGGAAGGCGGCGGAAGTCCGGCGGAAGGCGGCGGAAGTAAAGAAACGACCTTCCAAGAAATGAAAACATGTTTGGGTTAAGGGTGTCTGGAATCCGCCACATGCATTGCTCCCCCTTGGGCTATTCGCCCCTATCGTCCCTATCTCTATTGTATCTATTCGCCCCTGTCGTCGCCTGCGACCCTCTCCGTCGCATCGTCGCTATTCGCCCCTACCGTCGCATATCGCAATTGCTCTCCCCTGGGCTACTCGCCCCATCGTCGCCTTTCGACCCTCTCCGAGGAGGGCGCCGGGCCGCCGGGCGCTCCGGAGGACACTGGGAGGTACTTCCTGGTGGGCGCACTCACAGGTCATCGGCGGCACCCGAAGCCCAGACACCTTCTCCTCCTCCTCCTCCTCCTCCTCCTCCTCCTCCTCCTCCTCTTCCACTCCTCCCCTTCTCCCTCCTCCTCCTCCCCCTCCTCCTCCTCCTCCCTCCTCTCCAATCCTCTCCCCCTCCCTCTCCTACCTCTCCACCTCGTCCTGCCCTCCTACCTCACTCCCCTCGCTCCCTCCTCCTCCTCCTCCTCCTCCTCCTCCTTCCTCCTTCCTCCACCTCCCCTCCCTCACAATCCTCCCTCTCTCCTCCTCCTCCTCCTCCTCCTCCTCCTCCTCCTCCTCCTCCCCTCCTCCTCCTCCACCTCCTCCTCCTCCTCCTCATCCCTCCTCCTCCTCTCCTCCACCTCCTCCTCCTCCTCTCCCTCCGACCCTCCTTCCTCCTCCTCCTCCGAGCCTCCTCCTCCTCCTCCTCCTCCTCCTCCCTCCTCCCTCCTCTCTTCCCTTCCTCTCTCCTCCGTCTCCTTCTTCTTCTCTCCAGCCTCCTCCTCCTCCTCCTCCTCACATCGCTCCTCCTCATCGTCCTCAGCCCTCCTCCTCTCGTCCTCCTCCGTTCCTCCTCCTCCCCTCGCTCCTCCTCCTCGCGAGCCTCCGCCTCCTCCTCCGTGCCTCCTGCCTTCCTCCTCCTCTACGTTCCTCTCCTACGCTCCTTCTTGAGCCTCCTCCCTCTTCCTCCTCCCCTTCCTCCGTCCTCCTCCACCTCCCCTCCTCCTCCTCCTCCTGCATCCTCCTCCTCCTCCTCTCTTCCCCTCGTCCCTCCTCGCTCTCTCCTCCTCCTCCTCCTCCTCCTCCTGCCTCCTCCCTCCTCCTCCTCCTCCCCTCCTCCACTCCTCCTCCTCCTCCTCCTCCTCCTCCTGCCTCCTCCACCCCTCCTCCTCCTCCTCCTCCTCTCCTCCACCTCCTACCCTCCTCTCCTCCTTCCTCCTCCTCCTCCTCCTCCCCACTCTCCTCCCAGCTACCCCCTCCCTCCTCCTCTTCCTCCTCTTCTCTTGTCCTCCTCCTCCTCCTCCTCCTCCGCGTCTCGAAGAGATCTGGACGCAGGTTTTTTGTAGTTTTCGGCCCCTCGGGGCCCTTACCAGGCCTCGGGACCATCGAAAAACGACTCGGGGTGAGAAGGTGGTCCCCGAGAAATGGTCGAGAGGTCGTGGGCCCGCGTCTCGAAGAAGTCGAGACTAGGAGATCGAGGCGCTGGAAGTCTGGAAGGGGGCATGGCGGGGGGGGGGGGCGGGCGGCGCCCTGAGGGGACGCCCCGCCTGGCCCTCGTCCCTTCGAAGAGGAGCCTTCCTGTCTCGGGGGCGACAAAGAGGGGGGTGATGACTAGGGGGAGGTGGATATCATGGCGGGGGCCATGATATTTCCCCAGACTTCATGGCGCCTCTTCTTATTTCATTACGTCCCTGGCCCCCCCGCTGGGCCCCGCACATGCCGCCGGTCATGATTTGCACCCCCCCTCTTGGACACCCCCCTCTTGGCCGCTCCCGACTGTCGGAGGCCTTCGATGATGGGGCTGGTCTCCCTCCGACACGAAGCTCCGTGGCCTGCTAGAGTGCTGCGTCCCCCCTCGCCCGGCCGCTTGCATTCAAGTCGGGCATGTCCCTCTACAGGGGGAATATTCAAAAAGAGTCAAAACATAGTCTGGAGACGATCTTACCAGCATCTTTTACCATTTCGGGGTATTTGTGCTTACTTTGTATTCGATGTGTTCTTTAGACTCCGCCTGTCTTTCGATATGCCCGACCTAACACTTACATGTCTCAGACGTCCGACGTCGTGGTTTTCGTCACTGCGTGGCTCTCCAGAGGTCTGGTCTCCTCGACTGGGGACCAGCTTTTCATGCCGAGTTGTTTTCTTGACGGCCCTGGGGCCTGGGAAGGGCCCCCGTGCGGCCGAAGAGCACAAGCAGCTCCCGTCGTGACGTCTCCACGACGCGAGGAGGTCAGGGCCTGCAAGCGCCGCCGAGGCTGGAGCATGGAGGAGATGGAGGCGGACCCCGCGACACCGGGCGCCTTCTCCGCGCAGGTGCAGCTTCCCTTCCGGGCGGGCGGCAGCGAATTCCTCGTGGTCCGCAACCGTGACTGGAGCCAGGTCATCTATCCCAGCGTCCCGATGGCCACCCGCGCATCTGGCTTCGAGGTGCTGGGGCCCGACGACGGGCATGAGAGCCTTCTCTTCTGCATCGAGGGTGAGCCCGGCGAGCGCTTCCGGATAAGCTTCCAGCGCACGGTGGGCCGCTCGTTCGAGCCTCGGGGGGTCTTGCCGGTTGGCTCTTGGAGCGAAGGAGGGTTTGCCATGAAGAGAGGGGGGCCTGAGGGAAAGGGGTCCTATACGCCAGCGGTTTCCCCAGGATCAGCTCTCCATCAGTCGAGAGATGTGTCCGTAGTGGCGGAACGCCCTGGCACGAACTGGACGACGATGCTGCAGAGAGAGGCCGCGCAGATGGGCCCGCGCCTTGGCGTGCACAGCACACCTGGGTGGGTCCCTCCCGCAGGGAGGCACTGCCTGCGTCCACGCGCCCAGGATGATGACTGCGTGGCCGCAGCTCTGCATCCCTGGCCCGGTCCTCGAGTCCCGGGGGGGGGGGCCCGCGGAGAGCCCGCGGGGGCCCGAGCACGCGGGAAATTGTCCAGGACCCCCCCTTCCTTCACGGCTCGCTTCCTCCGTGCGAGGGGGGAGGGCGCAAGAAGTCCGCACGCGGCTGCTTTCCTCGCCCCCGTGCCGCCCAGGAGGACCCCCCTTCCCTCGGGGCTCGTTTCCTCCATGCTACGGGGGAGGGCGCGAGAAATCCGCGCTCGGCTGCTTTCCTCGCCCCCTGCCGCCCAGGACTCCCCTTCCTTCGGGGCTCGTTTTCTCCATGCTAAGGGGGAGGGCTGCTTCCCGGCGCGCGCCCTGTCTATGAACGCAAGGCCGGCGCCTTTCTAAGAGGCAGCTCCTCATGTGCAGCCTTCCCAGAAGCCTTCCCTCCTCCCCCTACCCCCTTTAGGGGGCCACATACGAACCCTACCCTATACCCCCCACGATTTCTGAGGGGGAGGGTGGGGTTCACTTTGCTCGGGAGCTCCCAGACGAAGCGAACCCCACCCTCCCCCTCAGAAACCATGGAGGGCAGGGGTAGGGTTCGCATGTGGCTCCCTACCCCCTGGTGCACGCCGCCAGAGTCTCGGCTTGGTGGCCCCACCCACGCCCAGGGGGCCCAGGAGCTTCGGTGTCGTCATCCAGGGCCCATGGCCGCCCATGGCCGACCCATCAGCGGTGGATCGCCGATCCCCAGGTCAACGTCCCCCCTCGCTGAGCCAGGCACCCCTCTGCCTTTCCCTTCCCCCCGTGGTGGTCCTCTTCCACCCTTTCCTTCCCTCCCCAGACATGCTATTTCTTGATTTTTTGTTTTGTTTTGTCGATTCTATCCGTGCGTGTGTGTCTATATATATATATATATATATATAGTGCCCCGAGAAATCCCGACCCTTCTCCCAGGACCAATGCTTTTCATCTTGGGGCGTTGTCTGACGGTCCCGCGGGGGCCTGGCGAGGGCACCGGAGGCCGAGCACCGGGAGAGAGGATTCCGCCCTGCTTCTTTCAAGAGCTTTTGCGCTTTTGGGTTCTGCACGAGGCGCCCAGCAGGTGCGAAGCGTCCCGGCTTGCCTATAGGCCCCCCAAGGAGTGTTCTGAGACCCTTTGTGGTGGTCTGCACGAGATGTTCTGAGAGCACAAGCTTGGCTCTTAGAACTTTTTTGGGGGTTCGAGCAGCGCGTCGTGGCAGGCCAGTAGGAATGCCGGGACGGTCGGCCCCCGCCGAGAGGTGGGCCTGGACTCCGACGTGAAGAGGGTCGAGTGGCAGAGGGCAGACGCTTAGCTCGGCCACTGGCGGCCCGTGAGGGCGGAGGGACGCCGAGAGCCCCCGCTCCCGGCGCCGAGCCCGCGGCCCCCCGGCCGCCGATGGGCGACGAGGGTGCGAGAGGCTTTAAGTCGGGCCTGTCCCCCTACAGGAGGGATATTCAAAAATGATCAAAAATGATTCCAGGGAAAAACCCGAATCATAATCTTTTTGAATAATATAGGGCTATGGGGCTAAAGGGCTATGGGGCTATAGGGCCATAAGGCTATAGGGCTATAGGGCTATAGGGCTAGAGGGCTAGAGAGCTATAGGGCTATAGGGCTATAGGGCTATAGGGTTATAAGGGTATAAAGCTATGGAGCTATTAGGGCCATAAGGTTATACAACTATTGGGGCTATAGGGCTATAGGGCTATAGGGCTAGAGGGCTAGAGGGCTATAGGGCTATAGGGCTATATGGCTACCGGCCGGGCACCCCCAGGCACGCCCAGGCACCCGGGCACCCGGGCACCCCCGGGCACCCGGGCACCCGGGCGTGCCGCGAAAATCGGCGGCAAACCTAACCTAACCATATGAATCCGCTAGGACCCCTACAGAGGCAGCTGTCCCTGTACAAGAGGAAAATTCAAAAATGATAGAAAATAGTCTGGGGACGATTTTGTTGACTATGTTCGTCCATTTTGGGGGGCATTTTTCGAGTATTTTTCATTTTTCGTCCAAAATCCCCCTGTAGGGGGGACACGCCCGACTTGAGAGAGGCTGCCGCTGCGTTCGGGGGCTACCCCCCCTCGGTCGGGTGTTGCTGGAGGAGGCCCCTGGCCCAAGGTGCCCCCAGGATTTCCAAGGAGGCCCCAACGGCCTCCAGAGCACCCCATCACGGGGTCCAGAGGGCCCCAGGGGCTTTAAAATTGAACGACAGTCTGGGGGCACCTTGGGCCAGGGTCACCTTTAGCACCCCCCGATTCTGGCCACCTCCCCCCCGCTTGGGCGTTGCGTAATGGAGGGGTCATAAATGGGGGGGTGTCGCGGGTGGTCCGAAAAGGTACCCAAACGGTACCTAAACGAGCCCCCTGGGGCTCCAGAGGGGCCCGAAAGGGGCACGAAAGGGGACCGTTTCTGACCCCCCCATTTATGACCCCCCCACTAAGCCACCTCCCCCCCGCCCCCTCCCCCCAAAGTTCCTGGCGCCTCAGTTGTTCTCCGACCCGGGCGCTCTCGCAGACGCTCGGGGGGCCCCGAGGCCCTGCCAGGACGACACGGCTCGGCAACTGAAGCGCAGAGCGATGGGGTTCTGGGGCCTTGGCCGGGAGAAGTCGCAGCGTTCCAAAGTCTCCCGCGACGGCGGATCTCAGCATCCCCCCCCCCCCCCCCCCCCCGCGCCCCTCCCCCCGGACCCCGACGTCACGATTTTTTCATCACGTCGACCGACCCCCGTAGGTCCCGCGACCCTTTCTCCATGACCGGCTCTGCATCCCGAGCCGTGTTTTGACACTCCCGAGGGCCGGTGAGGGCTCCTCCTCCTCCTCCTCCTCCTCCTCCTCCTCCTCCTCCTCCTCCTCCTCCTCCTCCTCCTCCTCCTCCTCCTCCTCCTCCCCCGAGGCCGAAAATTAGGAGAAACCTCCCGTCCTGATTTTTTTTCATTGCTCGAGGGGGGCTGGGCCCGCCGTGGAGCAGCCGGGTCCCGAGGGGCCGGTCCTCGGGACCCTCGCCGTCGTATGGAGGGGCTCCGGGGGGCCCGCCACGGGCCCCCGGGGGGGCCGTGGAGGAGCGGCGCGGAGCGCGGGGAGGCCCCCACGGGGGAGGCCCCCCGGCGTTCCAGGAGCAGCCGCCCTCTCGGGGCTCCAGAGATGCGGCGTCTCCTCCCTCCTCCCTCCTCCCTCCTCCCTCCTCCCTCCTCCCTCCTTTCCACACGGGGTCCCCAGGAGTCGAGCAGTGGCGAAGCGTCCTGGCGTGCCCATGGTCCTACCAAGCAATGTTCTAAGAACTTTTATTGTGGTTCCCACGAGATGTTCTCAGAATATTTCTGGCTGGGGCCGTCTCGTTTTATCACATCGGGCTAATGTTCTAAGAATGTGGCTTTTGTTCTTAGAACATTTGTGGGTTCTAAGAACCTTTCGTGGTAGGACTATAGGAATGCCGGGACGGTCGGTCCTCGAGAGTCTGGACCCCTTCCCCGGGGCCCGTTTTTCGCCCTGGGGCGTTGCCTGTGGCGCTCCCGGGGGCCCCGCGAGGGCCTCCCCCCAGGGGCCGAGAGCTGCGAGGCGCCTCCGTCGTTGACTCTTGTTTCGGCACGTTGGATCCTCCGGGGCCCGCCCGCGTGTCATGCCAGCCCCTCCTCCCCAGACCCCCTCGAGTCATGAAAAAATCACGACGAGAGGTTTTTCGCTATTTTCGGCCTCTGGGGGCCCTTACCGGCCCTCAGGACCGTCAAAAAACGACTCAGGATGAAAAGCCGGTCCTGGGGAATGGGTCTGGACCTCTGGGGGCCGCGTCATGAAAAAATCATGACGTCGGGGGTCTGGGTCGGAGACGGGGCGGGGTTGGGGCCGCGGAGGCCCCGCCGCGGTGCCGGCCAGCACACAAGGGGGGAGAGAAGGCTTCAGGGGCACCGATCGGGGGGGAATAGGCACAGGGGGGGTGCATCGACACGCAATCGCCCATGGATCGACGATGGGGGCCCGATGGCCCCAAGCTGCCCAGGGGGGTGCGGGTTCGCTGTTCGGGGCCGATGGCGCCGATCTATCGGCGATGTGTATATCGCCGACCCCAGGTCGATGCATCCCCCCTGTGTCGGTCCCCCCCCTCAGAAGGAGCCTCCTCGTCGCCATGGCTAGTGCCGCGGCTCGAGATGCTGCTGGTCAGCTTCGACCCGGGAGGGGGCGTCTGGGGTCTGGGGGGGTGCTTTGGAGCGGAGATGCCCTCGTGTCCCCCTGGCTCCCCCCCTCGACAGACAGGCCTCGGAAGAAATTAGCGAACACTCATGCCACATTCATCTGTCAATGCACCCCCCAAATGATCAATGTTGGCGTTGGGCCACATGAGTTTGTACTCCGGTCGCTGTCTTCCCCGCGCGTGCCAACTCTGAATTTGGGGGAGAGGGGGAGTGTCCACTCATTGTGAAGCAGTCGTTTCCCTGGCCACCCCCCCGCCCCCGCCTGGCAACGGTGGCGATTGTACGTGCAGTGGAAGCCCATGTCAAGAAACACTCTGCTTGCCTCCAGGGTGCCCTGTGTTTCTTGGCTTCCGATGGTTCTGCGACGGCAAGCGGGGCGCTCCAGCCCCAGGAATCGGTGGACGCCCTGGGGTCTCGGGCTTGGGCTTCTTGTGGGATGTTTCTTGTGCTCGAGCTCCTACAGCGCCGGTTTTCATACAGGCTCCGCATGCGGACCATGTATGAAAGATAACGGGTTGATTAATCCATGCAAGGACGAGTTTATGCATCCATCTGTTCCTAAGTTGGTCATGTATTTAAATTCCTGTATCTCAAAAATCCTATGTATTAAAACCTGCCCTGTACTGTATTGCGTATGGGGGGGGCGGTGCCGCCCCCCCCATACCTTAGTCATGTATTACAATTCCTATATATTACAAATCCTATGTATTAAAACCTGCCCTGTACTGTATTGTGTATGGGGGGGGGGCGGTGCCGCCCCCACGTGCCGGTGCTCGCGCGCACGCTGCGGCCAGCGGATCGCAGCGCACCCCGGCCGGCCCCGGCGTGCCCCACGCCTCCCGAGCGGTGCTTCCCGTCTCCCATGGGGGGCCTGCCCCGCTCCCCCCCCCCCCGTGACGGGTTGGTGTACCCGTACTGTATACTGCAATCCTTAGGTGCCCGTGCGATCTCACTATTTCAGTTTGCATCGCTAGTCGCAGCGCCATCATAACTCGACAGGCTAGCTGCCTCAACGAGCAGGCAATCCAAAAATCCCGTCTCCCGAGGCAGCGACCGTCCTGTCCGGAGGGGAAAAAGCACACAGACACGATGCATCGTCGCCTCCCAGGAGAATATCGGGCCGGGCGAAAGGGGGGGATAAGGGAAAGGGGGGGTTACGAAATCTGCCGCATGCAGCTGGTTTCGGCCTCACCGAGGGGCCCATTCCTGGATACATGGCCGCCTCCGGCGCCGGGAGGCGCCGGGAAAATCAGCCCCGCGAGCTGATTCTCAAACCCCCCCTTTGCTATCCCCCCCTTTCGCCCGACCCGAGAATATGGGAAAATATGGGAAGTGGGGGGGAAGACACAAACCCAGAACATGTGGGAAAAGATGGGGAATCATGTTATTCGTGTGTGTATCTGTTTGTGTGTCCTTGGGCCCCTTGATTGTGGTGAGCGGCGCGCTTGCAGCACGAAGCTGAAGTCGGGCATGTCCCTCTACAGGCGGAGTATTCAGAAGTAGTTGAAACATGGTTTGGGGATGATTTTCGACTACCTTTGACAACGTTTGAGTATGTTTGACATTTTTTATTTTTCCTCAAAACTTTGCCTGTAGGAGGACATGCCCGACCTAACACGAAGCCGATAGCACAAGTCTAGTTTGGAGGCAATGCCCCAAACCGCTATTGGAAGCCAACTGCGGAGCTGCTCCCGAGCGCATGCCACGATGTCAGACATCATGCTATCTGCCGGCCTCCGTCGGAGCACCCAGCACTGGCGCTATCTCCCCAGCCGCCTCCAGAACCCTCCCCCAAGGCCGCCTCCGGCCGCCTCCAGAGCCCTCCCCTGGTCATCACCCAAAGGGGGCCAGGGGGAGTCCCCCTGGCCCCCTTTGGGTGATGACCAGGGGAGGTGGACCTCGTGGCCGGGGGCCAGGATCTCTCCCCAGAGCTCCTGGCCCCCTCTCCTTCTTCTTCGTCTTCTTCTTCTTCGTCTTCTCCGTCTTTTTCGTCTTCTTCTTCGTCTTCGTCTTTTCCTTTTTCTTCTTTTTTTTCTTCTTATTATTTGTTTTCTTCTTCTTCTTCTTCTTTCAGTGCGTTCCGCGGTTCTCCCTCCCCCCCCCTCGGCCGCGCACGTGCCCCTCGG